GGCGCCAAGAGCTCGGCCACGGTGAGCCGCAACCTCAACCGCTTCTCCACCTTCGTCAAGTCTGGTGGGGAGGCCTTCGTGCTGGGCGAGGCGTCGGGCTTCGTGAAGGACGGGGACAAGCTGTGCGTGGTGCTGGGCCCCCGGGGCCCCGAGTGGCAGGAGAACCCCTACCCCTTCCAGTGCTCCATCGAGGACCCCACCAAGCAGACCAAGTTCAAGGGCATGAAGAGCTACATTGCCTACAAGCTGGTGCCCAGCCACACCGGCCAACAGGTGCACCGCCGCTACAAGCACTTTGACTGGCTCTACGGGCGGCTGGCCGAGAAGTTCCCCGTCATCTCCGTGCCCCACTTGCCGGAGAAGCAGGCCACCGGCCGCTTTGAGGAGGACTTTATCTCGAAACGTCGCAAAGGCCTGGCCTGGTGGATGGACCACATGTGCAGCCACCCTGTGCTGGCTCAGTGCGACGCTTTCCAGCACTTTCTCACCTGTCCCAGCACGGATGAGAAGGCCTGGAAGCAAGGCAAGCGCAAGGCCGAGAAGGATGAGATGGTGGGTGCCAACTTTTTCCTGACCATCAGTGTTCCCACAGGCCCCGGGGCCAGCCTGGACTTGCAGGAGGTGGAAAGCCAGGTGGATGGCTTCAAAGCCTTCACGAAGAAGATGGACGAGAGTGCCCTGCAGCTTAATCACACGGCCAATGAGTTTGCCCGCAAACAAGTCACTGGTTTCAAGAAGGAATACCAGAAGGTGGGGCACTCCTTTAAGTGTCTCAGTCAGGCTTTTGAGCTGGACCAGCAGGCCTTTTCGGCTGGCCTCAACCAAGCCATAGCCTTCACTGCAGAAGCCTACGACGCCATCGGGGACCTCTTTGCAGATCAGCCCCGGCAGGACCTAGATCCTGTGATGGATTTGTTAGCGCTGTATCAGGGGCATTTGGCCAACTTCCCAGACATCATCCACGTCCAGAAAGGTAACACCCTTATGTGTTTTCTGAAACGGTTAAATTTTTCGTATCAGTGGTATGCACAGAGATGTAGGGACCAGGGGCTAAATTTGCCCTGCGTCTGGCTTGCTAGCCTTGGGTTAAATCCTTCCATGTTTACTCAGGTAACCGGTTGCTAAAAGTACAAAAACCACATCAGTGACAATTTTCATTCTGTGCCAGAGGTCTAGACATAGCTGAGGATTTTACTGGTCGGAGTTTGCTGCGCTTGGCTGTGTGTATCTCTGAAAGAAACCACATCTGCCTATACTGCTGATACATTAAAGATTAACGGGCTTGTTTACAAACCCTGGAGATGAAGTGGTATGAAAACATCTAGTACGCTTTGATATATGTTAGGTATTTTAAATCTTTGATTTAGTAGATAATAAATATGAAGTAATTTGAAGATGCAGGTACTCCTCTGATTGACCGCCTTGTTTGAGGTGCGCTTTGCAGTGTCGGACAGGCAGATGAGATGTTTAAAGCTGTTGAGGTTTCTCAGTTTAGCCATGCATTAAACTCTCTTCATGCCTTTGTAAGAATAATGATCTGCCACGGTGTTCTTAATTGGAGTTGTTCATCCTTTGCCCTTATTATTGTAAAAAGATGTTGTTCACCTGTTATCCTTTCAGCATCCTTCTAGCTGAAACAGGCTTCTGAGGTTCAGACTGCTGTTTGTATGGCACTTTGTGATCCATCGGAGATGAAGAAACTCCAAATATGAAAGAATCATGTGCTACATAACTAGTGACACTTGTTCAGATAAACAGAAGTTTACACTTCTGAAACACTATATATACCTGTAGCTGATTTCCCTGCTGTGAAATTAATGGTATTCATGTATTCTTCACCATTGTGGGAAGACTAGCCCATCATTCATTCTTTTTGCTGTTACGTTCCTTACCTGTAGTTTTCAACTCGAAGATCAGGGGATGGGCTGGGGATTGGAGCTGTAAAAGAGACCGGGAAAATATTACATATGCTCTGCAGAAATGGGTGTAAGTCACCTGAGAAAATGCATGAGCTTTATTGAAGATTGTTTTGGAGATTAATAAGTGGTGTTCCCACATCCCAAGAGGCAAGAGCTTGAATTGTCAGTCACAGTGAATCAGTCTTTGTGCCCTTACATGACACTTCCAGGGGTTTTGCATCTGGAACAGTACCTTGAGTTTGATGACAGAAGAGTTGGAAGAGTTTTTTCAACAGATCAAAAAAGGCAGATTTCCCGGAGGTATGCGTTATTGCTGGGAAAATCTGAAGAAACAGACTTGTACAAAATGCACAATTTATTGTTATTTAACAAGGTAAGCTTTTCATAAAAATTGCATGCATCAAAGTCAGATTTCCATTCTCCTGTCAAATCTTGAAAATTGTGAGTGGAAACTTAAACAATCTTATTCTGAAGAGACGAGGGAAGTATGCAATCCAACCTTTGAGGAGTTGTTCTGCTAGCTGCTGTGGCACTGTGTTCTGATAACAACTTTCAAGGATTTTAAATTTGGAGAGAAGGGTGGCCTTGGCGGTGCCTTGTGTTTGAGAGCAGAGCATTTTAAAGTGAGTTGTCAACTAATAAAAGGGCTATCTGTAAGCTTCTGGGAAAAAAAAAATAAAGGGAAAGGTGTTTTATTAGGTGGAAAATTTAAATAATACATCCTCAAGCTTTAAGGCTACATCGCATTCTTCACTGCAGTATTTTTGGAGATGAGACTTGGAAGAGAGGATTGGGAATAATAGGATATGTGCTTGATTCAACCCTGCTTCTTTTATAGTTCTATTTGAATTTGTGCTTACTGATTAGGTTTACCTTGCTGAACCATAGAAAGTTCATCTAAATGACCTTCCAGTAGAGCAGTGCATGAGCATGACGTATGTAGCATTGATTTTGTGCCAGAGCACTGTCCTGGAGCTGGCTGGAGAAACGTACAGCCAGTCTGCATGCAAGGTGCCAGTGGTCCAGCATCTCTTGGGCTACCACTGCCTTCAACGCAGTATTATCCTTGGTGCATACTTGCCATCAGAAAATGGCATCAGTTTGAGAGGTTGGTCTCTTGACTCTCCACGTTTATGGTAGGAACAGAGTTAGGATTGGGTTACGTGTTTCTTGTTGTTCCCGTTACAAAACAGGCAAACTGAGAGGAAGATGATTTTTACAACTGGTATATTGTTGGTTTATTACTCTTAAGAGTTACTTGTAAGAAGGTATAACTTTTTGATTCCAGATAGTAAACTTCAGAAGAAAGTATGAACTGTTTGGTGTTCTTACAACGTAAGAGCATTCTTTTAAATTTACTATCTGGGATAGTTGCCAGTTTTTCGAATTATTATTGTCTGTATAGACTAAACAAATGTCTGTTGGTGATAATAGATCATCTGAAAAATAGAGTTGACCTGTCTTTCTTCAAGTGTTTTGTTTTCTGGTGTACAACAACTTTGTGCAGTAAAATGACCCCAAAGTGCCCTTAGAAATGGTAGAAACAGCAGCCTGACTGATGCATTGCTTACATGGCCGTGCCTTTACAAAGATGAACTCTGAAGTTCCTTTGTTTTCTGCGTAGCACAGACGTATTGCCCACTTGGGATAAAACCAAAGGCCTTTTCTAGACTCCATTTCTGTATTTCCCTAGACTTAAGAAGGACCATAAAATAAGGCGGCTGTGCCCAAAAGTTGCCCGTGTCTGTGGGTCGAATATTCAACTGCATTGTCCAGTTACGGGTTTGCCCTACTGCACCTAGTTGAAAAGCTGCTGAATGCCATTTGGAAGTGTGTTTTGTGGTATGGACTGAGAAGTCTGCGCCTCTGGGGTTTTTTAATCATTTCTGCAACTTCTGCAGAAAGGAGGACAGAGAATCTGTGAGTCAGAGACAAAGATTTCCCCTGTTTGGGCTCTGTCTTTTCTCCTAGAATTATGAACCAAAGCCATGTAAGCCCCACTGTTGCTTTGTCTGCATATCAGCAGGAAAATGTGTTAACTGTTGTGCTTTTAATTGCTCTGCTGTCCAGGTCTTTCTGCTTCTGCTGAGGACATCATCCAAGACCTGAAGTGTGCAGAAAGGGGTTGTCATTTTCATCACTTATGTAAAACAAGTGAACTGGGGACTCTGGGAATATTTTCAAAATCTTTATTATCTTATCAATATTTTAAGTATTTTATGCAATGGCAGTAGCTTCAATAGGAGATTTTTAAAAGATTCCTTTCCCTCTGCCTCCTTCATCTTGAGCACCCAGTGTTTAAGGAATTTTCTGTGAGGGAAGGAAGAGCTGAAGTTCCTGCTCCAGAAGAGGCAGAGGAAGGGTTTGAACTGTTCTGTCCCACGTGCCAGTTGAGAATCAACTTGTCAGTGCTTTGTGAGAGACCTGACCTGGTTTCGTGTGTTCCAGTCCAGGTCTGAAGGTTCATTGGATTGACCCCTACAGCGAAGAACTCTCTGAGTTGGAAGCCCCACGTTTCCATCTGGAAGTTCTTGCTTTGAGAACCCACAGAGGCTGGCACAGTGTATCAGCCCCAAGGCATGCATCTCTTACAAATGACTTGCTGTTTTATAGATTTTATTCGGAAAACTAAGTCATTAGGGGAAAACTGGCACCTGTAGGGGTAGATGATGGCAGAGTGGTGTCTTGAGCAGCTAAGCACCCAAATACTTGTACGAATCTAGCCCTCAACCCCCCATAGGTAAATGCTTCTAAAGTGCTTGCATGAAAGTATTCCTGTGCATACCTGTGTGTTTTGGAGTGGAAGATCCAAGTATGTTAGACACATATACTTGGACTCGGTTTTCTTTAGCCTTTGGCAAAAGATTTGTAGAAAGGGAATGTTAAATTCAGTAGGCTCAAAAATTAAGCTGCATTGTAGTAATTTTCTTTTGCAGAACTGATGTATCTTTCAAGAAATACTAGATTCAGTTGCTTTAATTTTGAGAAGAGGAGCAGTCTCCTGTCTTCGTTTGTAATGGATAATGCCTTCTTTTCTGTGTTTTAAGGTCTACTTGTGGAAATTCCCTAGGCATTCTTGGCAAAATAATTCCTAAATATTAATTGCTGGAGCTTCACTCAACTGATGAGATCTTCTGACTTCAGTAATCTTCAACAGAAATGCTCACTGCAGGCCCATGCAAGTTCAGGTTCAGAAAATTTATGCACATGCAAGAATTTCAGATAGTTTATGCTAGTACTGTAGCTCATGCTTGACTGGCTATCTTGTCTTCATATTTGCTTAGTGAGAGTAGAGAAGTTATGGGTTTTCAAGCTTTGTCAGAGCAATTACTATTGGCTTTTGTAATTCCTGAAAGTGGAAGAAATACTGCCTAATCTGCTCATCTCTACTTTCTAGATTTCTTCTTTCTCTTAACATTATGATATTAAGGATAGGCAAACTTTTGGTTATGATTTTTGCAAAAGAGATCTGAGAAAGTGGTCAAAAGGTCTTCTAAGATGTAGACAGCAGTTCTGTTTCCTCTGCATGCCAAGAAAATTATTTCAAAAAATACCTGAATGACCTTTTTGCTTCTTGATCGCTGTGAAGAGTAAAAAAAACAGGCGAATGGTCTTATTTACCTGCAGGAAACTTAATTCTAGACATTGGCTCTAAAGTCTGAGCTGGGTGTGTTTTTAGAGTATCTTACAAAATCATAGGTGAAAAATCATTCCAGCTGGAAATGCATAAAAATTTCAATCATCAAAAAAACCCAAACAAGACCGAAACCTGGAACTCTGTAACATTTTCAGCAATGTTTTTTTTTTGCAGGGGGAAGGAGGGGTATGTATGTTCATGAATAAATCGGACTGGTCAAAGTTTCACACCTAAAATTTTGTATCACAGCATAAAAGCAGTGCTTTTCCCTCTTGTTTACTTTCTAACCTCTTAAATTTGTTGTGCAGACATGTTTTTTCCATCCCTGTTTTTCCTTTTATCTACCTTTTTTTTTTTTTTTCTTCCCTCTATCCCTCACACTTTGCATGGGGTTCAACTCGGGTGGCTACTGGCTAA